TTTCAGGCATTTGTATGGTGTGGCTTATGATTTTCTTCCCCTCAATGTCCTCTGGACTGGTTTGAGGGAGAGTGTGGGGTTTGGGAGGCATTTTGTTGTCTTATCTTCTTGTGTTTCTATTCTTTTGTTGTTTGTTTTAAGGCCTGTGGTTTGTAGCTTCTTTTGCCCAGTTCCCAGTTATTAGGGAGTGAGCCATAGTATTTTTTATTACCTACAGGAAATCCAGGTATTACTACATAGAGAAAGCCAATTGATAGCAACAACTATGTCACCTTGGCTATAGTAGTAAATTCAGTGACAAAAATGATATCAAATATAAACTAGATACTGACAAACCTCAAGAACAACTCATGAACCACCATTAATCAGATCAAAGAGGTCAAGTATTTTAGTGTAGAAACGAGTTATCCAGATATTCTCCTATAGCAAATTATATGACTAATTTGTTCTGAATGTAGGTAGTGGTACAAGAGTTCATCAAGTCACTGACCTAAATGCCATTTCATTCAGATCCATCCCCTCTAAAGGTTCCATCCACCAAATCTTGCCTCTTACAACAAAATACAGACCCCATGATCTCCCCGACCTGAACTTGAGCTTTTCAGGGTATCTCACAGGCGATCTCTGTTTAGCTCTCATCCCATCACACCATCTCCCAAGGCTATCTCTCACCTGGTCTCTGTAGTAGAGTTACACTGCAGTCTTTGAGTGAAATTCCTCTCCAGGGAGTTTGTCTTATTTTTAAATTCTTTTTAAATTCTAAATAGTAATCCTTTGAGGAACAGCTGATAATATTTTTCCCATATTGTGGGTTGTTTCTTCACTCTACTGGTGGTTTCTCCTGCTATGCAAAAACTTTTGAAAAAAATATTTTATTGGTACATTTTAGATATACAATACAGTTAGCATTCATCATTGGGATCTTGTACCTTTAAATGACAGGTCTTGGCTCTTGTTTTTTCCCCATTTCCCTAGTCTCCTTTCCCCCCTCCACCCTTCCCTATTTACAAAGATTTTGTTTCTATTTTTAATAAGATGAGATCCCACTTGTTGATTAATTGTGCTAGCTCCCATATGATTGAAGTTTTCTTCATAAAGTCTTTTCCTATGCCAATATTTTCAAGAGTTCTACCTAACCTAACTTCTAGCACATTTAGTGTCCAGGTATTTGTCTTATCCTCAGTTGGGTCAGTCTTGGTTGTCACCTCTGCTGACCTGTGCTGAGGAGGACCAAGTGCAGAGCTGTCTAGGGTTGGATGGACTGACTGCTTTCCTCCTCCCTTGCACTGGTTGCACAAGGCCTTGACCAGCACCAATGGAAGCATCAGGTAATTTTATATAGTATTTTTAGTACACCTGCTTTTTGACTGAAACCCATCACACAATATCCATATAAAAATTTCCTCTTTGGGCATATCGTGTCAGCACTCAAAAAGTTTCATGTTTGGAGGTATTTCAAATTTCAGACTAATTAGAAATGCTCAGTTCATATTATTGTTTTTATTTATTGTTATTATTAGTTCTATTATTGTTTTATTTACAGGGCACTATCTAACAAAAAAATAAGACAAGTTTACATCTCACCATAAATATGGGTTAATAGGCACAAATTTAGAACACACTAATCTTTTGTTAAAAAAATTTCCCACATTGTAGGTTGCCTCTTAGCTCTGTTGGTGGTTGCTCTTGCACTGCAAAAATTGTTTAATACAATGTGATCCCAGTTTTGATTCTTTCTGCTGAGGATTTGTTTACAAAGTCTTCTCCTATGTCAGTGTCTTTGACAGTTCTACCTAATTTATTTTCCAGTAAGTTTAGTGTTTATCTTTTGATATTTAGATCTTTAATCCACTTGGACTTTAGTTTAGTGCATGGTGAAAGATAGGGATCTAGTTTTAATCTTTGGTAAGCTGAAAGCCAGTTTTTCCAACACCATTTATTTTAGAGGCTATCTTTCCTCCACTGAGGGTGGTTGGCTCCTTTGTCAAAGAAGAGGTAGCTTAGTATGTCTGGTGTTGTTTCTGCATTTCTAATCTATTCCATTGATCCTTGGGTCTGTTTCTTTGCCAGTACCATGCTGTTTTTATCACAATGGCTTTGTAGTATAAAGTTGGGAATTGTGATACCCCTTGCCATGTCTCTGTTGCCTAGAATGGCTTTTGCTATTCTAAGTCTCTTCTGATTCCAAATGAATTTTTAGGTTGTTTTCTCAAGTTCTGTGAAATATACGCTTGAGATTTCAATCGGGACTGCATTCAGTCTGCATAGCAGTTTTGGAAGTATGGCCATTTTCACTGTGTTGATTCTTCCTACCCAGGAACTAGTGTTGTCTTTCCATTTTCTTATATCCTCTTCAATCTCATTTTTTGGAGTGCTGTAGTTTTTAGTGGAGAGGTCTTTTGCTTCCTGCATTAGATTGATTCCTAGATATTTCATTTTTTTATGTTATTGTGAAAGGAATTGTTTCCGTAATTTCTCTCTCAGTGAGTCTGTTATTTGTGTTCTAGAAGGCTATTGATTTTTTTTCCAGCTTTAATTGAGTTTATTGGTTATGATTTTTTGAGTGTTGACCTTATATCCATCTACTCTACTGAATCTGTCATTTAAGTCTCGAAGTCTTTTGGCATAATTTTCTGGGTCTTTTATGTAGAGTATCATATCATCAGCAAATAATGATAGTCTAATTTCTTCCTTTCCTATCTTTATTGCTTTTCATTTCTTTCTCTTATCTAATTATTGTGACTAATGTTTGTACAACTATATTGAAAGGAATGGTGATAGTGGACATCCTTGTCTTGTTTCTGATTTTAATGTGAAGGGTTTGAGTTTTTGACCATTTAGTATAATATTGGCTGTTGGTTTTTCATAGCCTTTATCAAGTTGAGATAAAGACCATCTATTCCAATTTTCAATAGGGTTTTTTTGTCATGAATGGCTATTAAATTTTGTCAAATGCCTTTTCTGTATCTATTGAGATGATCATTTGCTTTTTGTCCTTGGCTCTGTTAATACAGTGCATTACATTTATTAATTTATGTATGTTGAACCATCCTTGAATCCCTGGGATAAATCCAACTTGGTCAGGGTTGTGATCTTCTTGATGATCTTCTGTATTTTGTTTGCCCACTAATGCCTCTTTTAAATTAGCACCCCATCTCAAACCTAACCCTCTAGTCTTGTCCTTAATCTAGCGATAGGCAAATTTGGTATTTGAGAAAAACTTCCACATTCTAGCCCTTTATGAGACTTCTCATTATTCAAATGTCAAAGTGAAAAATAACACAGTAATCTAATGAGTATTACTAATCCTGAAATGTGGACCATAGCCAGTCTATCATATACATAGAAAGTTATCTTGATTAAAGTGTGTAATAGCTTGATGGTCAGATTATGTGACTTTGAGAAGAGCTCTCTGATTGCATTAAAAATAAAGAGGATAGGGATTATTGATGGTATTTCAAGTAAGAAAAAATCACTGTTAACTGTAACTTATCTGTAAATAATAAATCATCTCTATTTGCTCCATTTTGAGTTCCTATAACACTGCAGTCTAGGATTTATGAAAATGTATCGAACAGAATGTAGCAGCATCTGCAATGTACATAGCAGAGCACTATTTCATCATAGGCACTAGAATCATTTGTGTCATGGCATCTGAATCAGTTAACCCTCTGAAATTACATTCAATTTCATAATCAGAAATTCCATTCAAGTTCATAAACATTGTTGAATACTTATCAAGATCAGAGCAGAGCTCTTTGCCTGATGCCTCAGAAATTATGATATGAGTAGTTACACTACTGGCTCAATAGGGGGGAGTAGAACATGTGCAGGAGTAGTCAAAGCCAGACAGAATAAGCCTGGGTGACCTATAGAGAGCCATGGAGTTACAGGGACAGTTGGGACTGAGAATAAACAGGAGATTCTCTAGGAAGTCATAGTACCTTAAAATGGGTAAGACATGAAGATCAGAAATGAGAAGTGTGGTTACTTGTGGTTGGGGACAGCAAAAGTAAAGATCTGTGAGTGAGAGGGTATAGAACATGCAATGGCACACAAGGGAGTAGAGACTTTAGGCAAATAAAGCTTGAGAATAAATTCAAGTGAAAATTGCAGAAATCAGATTGCAAGTTTCATCTTCTGCTTTATTTGGATTCTAAGATACAAAAATACATTTAATCCTGAACTGATCTGAGTTTGGAGTGTTCTAGCTTGGAAAATTGAATGTTTTGGCCTTTGGAGAGTTATCTTCAAACTTGAGATGAATGTAAAGCCTGACAATTGATCTTTTAGACATACTATCTATTGTGGGTTTTCTGACTAAAATCATTGAGCTTAAAAACATACCGATTGTTCTCCATTCCAGTTATGTTAGTCAGCTTTCTCATTGCTGGATACAATATCCAATACCCACAAATTAAAGTGAGAGATGTACAATTTAGCTCACAGTTTCCAGAGATTCAGTCCATAGACAGATGGCTGCAGGGGAAAAACATCATGGCAGAAAGATGTGGCTAGTTTCTACCCCTGAATCCAAAGGATCCTCCAGCCTCAACCTCTAGGTTAGCTGGGATCATACTTAAACATGTAGATGTAACTCAATTTTAAATTTATTTTACTAGTGTTTCATATTGAGAATATTTCTATTTTCCACCATTATAAATACAGCTACAATAAAAATTCCAATGGTTAATTTTTCTTAAGCACTTGTAACGTGCTAGGTACTATGTCAAGCATTTTTTCTTAAATTGAGGTAAAATTCACGGAGCGTAGACTTTCATACTGATTAAAGTAATTATAAATAATCCTGTTTAATTCAATATCCAATATTTTACTCCTGGTACAAAAAAATCATTAGTTTATATATTGATTTTATAAACTAAAACACTGCTAAATTCACTTACTAGTTCTGGAAACTCAATTTTATTTTTATATGAGTGGTCACTTTGTCCATAGATAGTTTTAGACAGTATTGTCTTCTTGCTTATTGAGATGTCTGGCTGCCTGCCTGCTTTCCTTCCTTCCTTCTTTCCTACCCCATCTTTTTCTTATTTTTGCTCGATTGTACTGACCAAAGCTTTCAGTATAATGCTGAATAGAACAAATGAGAGTGTCCATCCTTTTCTTTTTTCTGATCTGAAAGAGAAAATTTTTCCATCTTTTACTGTTACATCTGATGTTATATTGCATTTCTATTGGTGCCCTTTATAAAAGTCAGGAAACTCACTTTTATTCCAAATTTGCTAAGAGAAATGCTTGTTAGATTTTACCAAATGCTTTGCTTACACGTGGATTTTTTTTACAGTTAGGCTTTTAATTAAAAATTCAACATCTTCAATATATAAATAGGACTATCCAGGTATTATATTTCTTCCCAATTGAAACTTTAATAGTGTTTATGTTTCCACAAATTTGTTTTTCTCTTTTAAGTTGCTAAATTCATTGACATAAAGTTCCCCATCATATTTCCTTATTATGCTATTAACATTTATATCATATAGTGATATCGAACCCTCTCACTCCTGATATTTTGGATTTATGTCTTTTCTTTCTCTCCTCTCATTACTCTGGGTAGAGATTATCAATTTTATTAATCTTCTAGAAAAAAATCACTGGATGTGGTAGCATATGTTTGTAATTACAACATTTGGGAAGCTGAAGCAGGAGGATTGCTGTGAGTTTGAGGCCAGCCTGAGTTACATAGTAAGTTCAAGGCCAACCTGAACTACCAAGGAAGACCCTGTCTTATATAACCAAAACAAACAAATAAAGTAAATAAATCAGTATTTGACTTCTTTGATCTTTCTCTACAATTTTCTGTTTTCAATATAGTTAATTTTTCCCCTGATCTTTATTGTTTCCTTCCTGTGCCTTACTTTGGTTCTCATTTCTTCTTCCTGTTCTTGTATTCTTACTTTGTGTATGTAAACAGAAGTCACTGATCTGAGGCATTTCTTCTTTCTAATATTTAATAATATTTAAATATTTAAATATCTAATATTTAAAGCCAAAAATTCCCTACAAGCTCTGTAGTAGTGGCATTCCACAGAAACTACGTTGTATTTTCATGTTCATTGTTCAAAATAGTTCATAATTTCCTTTCTTATTTTCTCTTTGATCAGCAAGTTGTTTAAAGTGTGCAACATAATTTCCAAATATCAGGATTATTTAAGATTTTTCTGTTTTGACTTCTAACTTAATTCCATTATTATTAGAGTACTTACCTTGTATGACTTGAACTATTTTTAATTTATTGACCAGTTTTAGGACCCAGAACATTGTCTATACAAATGCTGTGTTTGTACTTAAAAACAAAAAGGCAGAGTATTTTTGATGAGATAATTTTATAGATTAGGTCAAATCAATTGATAGTATTGCTTATGTCTATGTCCCTGCTGATTTCCTGTCCTTCTGTTCAATAATCTCTTTCTTGCAATGTATTATCTGTTGTAATGATATCCATTATATTTTCTTCTACAAGTCCTATGTGGGACTTTTTTTATATTTTCCACATCTCTCTCTCTCTCTCTCTGTCTCTCTCTCTGTGCACGTGTGTGTGTGTATGTGCGCATGTGCACACTGGAGATTGAACTCAGGCCCTTGCACTTGCAAGGCAGGCAGCAGAACCACTGAGCCAAATCCCAGGCTCTTCCACATCTCTATTTCTGTTTTGAATATATGGAATACAATTATAGTAACTTTTTATGTTTTTTTTTGTTGTTGTTGTTGAGAAGGTAAAAGCAGTTTCTTTGAGACATAAAGAATGAGTAGGCATTTGTCCTATCAAGTAGGAAAAGTGGTAGAACTCAGAAAAAAAATTGCAGTCTCAAGACAGAACAAATAGCATAGACTTTCAAGCAAGAAAGTATTTGGAGGGCGGGGATTTAGCTCAGTGGTTTGGTGGCCTGCCTTGCAAGTGCTAGGACCTGAGTTCAATCCCTGGTATCCCCCCAAAAAAATTTTGGAGGTTCCAATAAATATAAAGAAAGTCATAATGGTGGAAAAGAAGTCAGTGATGAAACAGTAACAAAGAGATTCTCATGAAGAATGGGGACAGAAAAACATGTAAAGCTTTGTAGACCATGTGCCTTCATCAGCACAGGCTGTGTTGTATTTTAGTAAGAAATAACTTCCAAACATCAGTGACAATTCCAGAATGGAGTGTGTCAACAATGTGACAGAAAGAAAAGTACCTTTGTAGAACCACCCTGTGTTTTCAAAGCATCTGTTAGGACCTGACATAATGTCACAGCCATTTATATTTCAATGGAAAACAGGTTTTATATTTCATCCTAATGTTAATAGGGTAGGAAAGGATAATAGCTACTTGGTAACAATGATACAACTTACCACAAAGTGCTTAAGATACTATCTTTTATCTGAAGAAAAATGGAAAGTCAGCTTCAGATGAAGTTAAACACAGGGCTGTATTAATGTTACTCCATCTCCTATGATAAGACATTTTCTCTTCAGAAAAAAATCAATTAGACTTAGAGAAATAAGATATATGATCATACTAATTAGCATTGTTTAAAACACAATAAAATTTTTATGAAAGTAATGAGATTGAGTTTCTGTGAAATTTATCTAGCTATGATTCATCATTTTAATGTTTATAATTGTCTGACATAACTAGAAAGAGTGAAAGTTATGCATATATCTAACCACAGACACTTGTTTTAAAAACTTACTACTTTATAATAGGAGGTTGAGCACTGTATTCTGATTACTACTTTTGAAAACTTAGAATATAAAACTGAATTATACCACAATTATTTTAATGATATTGAATTTTTATCTGCTCTAATGATGATAGATTTGGAAAGGTGTGTAGTTAGTGTATTAATTAGCTTTCCCATTGTTGAAAATGCTCAGTACCCTCGACTTAAGAGAAGAATGGTTGATTTGGCACATAGTTTCAGAGGGCTCAGTCATGGTTGACTAGCTCTAAGGGAAAAACATTGTGATAGAAGGTCATGATGGAATACAGCTGCTTACTTCATAGCAAGTACATAGTGCAAGTACAAGTATATAGCAGAATACAAGGAAAAACTCTCAGCAAGAGATATACCTTCCAATGACATGCCTCAGTGACTCACCTCCAACTAGGCCCCATCTTTTAGCAACATAATTAGCTTTGAACATCGGTGTATTTTTCCAGCCAAGTAATGAGAGAGTGCTCCTATGATCCATTCACTTCTCTAGGAGTCTTTTAATTCAAGTCATGTTGGTGACTATGATTAGTTGGCACAGTCAGTTCTCCATTACTGAAACAAATACCAACATAATCAGCTTATTTTGGCTTGCAGTTTTGGAGATTTCAGTCTATTTTTGAGTCACCCCAAGCTGGCTTTATGGCAGGGAGCACATTGTGGAGCACAGCTCCTTACTTCATGGCCAAGAAATAAGACAGTAGAAGAGAACAAAGTCCCACAATGCCCTCTGAAGAGATGCTCCTAAAGAATTCCAGCCCAGCAGCCTCCCATTAGGTCCTACCCCTTAAAGTTTCCACCACCTACCAATAATGCCAAACTGGGGACTGTAACACATAGGCCTGTGGGGAGCACTCCATGTCTAAAAAATAGAAGAATATGAGTGTTGTGATGTCACAGTGCCACAAAGGAAGGAGCAGGTAAGTGCCTGGAGAACAGAGTAACCTCTCAGACACATTGGCTATGATCCTTTGAAGGTGGGATGCTATGGTGTCCTGAGGGTTGAAAAACACCAGGCCTCTTAGATGTTATGGGATTTGTGACAGGGAAAAAGGATGTACAAATCAGACATGTATTTATCTGTGAGGAAATAAGTCTCAGCTTCTGGGAACCATCTGTATGCCAGTTGTGGGGCCATGTGCCAGTAGAGAAAATTACATTGGAACCAGTAGGCATTTTCTCATAACTCCCAGGTTAGATGCTAGGTCCACAGCACTCTGTTTATACGTCTGCTACAGTCTTGCCAGATAATTTAAATTAACTCTGAATTGGCTTACTTCCTTATAGACCATAAATTCCAAAAGAGCAGGAACAGTGCAGTATCAACTTTGGTCCACCACCTTGCACAGTGCCTGGCAGACAGTCAATCAAACAGATGTAGGAAGGAGAAGGCATTGATCTAGCTGACTATTTCTCTGAGCAAGCTTGGAAGTGGCCCCATGAGAAGAGTGAGAGATTTGCCATCCTTTCTGATAATGACCGGAAAGAGCTCCAGATGGCGGCAGTGTGAAGGAGGTGGGGAGCCAGGAAGTTGGTTGGCAGGAGGCCATATCTGAAGATATACTTGAGGGCAGTTCCTGCCAGAGAAATTGGCAAACGACCCACAGAAGGGGCTCAGCGATGATAAGGCTTGAGCCCAAATTGGAGGGAAGTGGGAAATCTTAAAAAACCTAATAGTGGGCTGGGGATTAGGCTCCTTGGCACCATGCCTGCCTGTCAAGTGCAAGGTTAAGTTTGATCTCTGGTACAGAGAAAAATAACTGTCATTGCTTTTTGCTCAGTGTGAGATTATTGTTACCATGTGGGTAGTTTTCAGTGAGAAGATTCCTGGGCTCTCCAGAAAGCTGGATTTCCCAGGATTTTAGGCAAGAATTGGAATAAAGATAACTGTTAACTGTTACTCTTTCCCTTGCTAATGTGCAAATGATCCTGAGCATAACTTTGGGCTCTTTGTTGACAGGGACTGAACTTAGTCATCTCTGACACAGAGAAAAAGTGTTAAATTGGTATGCCCATGCATATATATGTGAAGTATGTCCTAAACTTAAGACTTCTAATTTTGCGTATCTTACAAAAGTGTGGGGATATAGTTAATTCAAACAAATGTCCTTAATATCAGTTTTATAGAAAATTTGTCATTTGTCTTTTTTTCATAAAAGTAAGAGATGCTGATCAGTTATTTGTTAAGCCAGGTCAAGCTCTGCCACTTAGAAGTATCCCAGACAACTGAGAGCAGTGGCCATAGCAGAGAGGATGGATCATTACTGTAAGCGACTTTGTGTGAAGGTCTTAGTTACGCTCCTTGTCACTAAAACACAATACCTAACACCCACAACTCTAATGGGGAAACATTTATTTTAGTGCATAATTTGTACAGGTTTAAATCTATAATTGGCTGGCTCTAAGGGAAGGCAGAATGGCAGAGGGGCATGGCAGAAGAGAAATAGCTCATGGTGTGTCAATGAGAAGCACAAGAATCAAGGGAGGAGGGGTTAACATGTTCCAGGCCTCAGTGACCCACTTCTTCTTACCAAACTTCTCCTCCAACATCATATTTAGCTATAAATGCCTCAGCAGACTAATCCACTGATGAGTATCACATCCCCATGATCCAAACCCTCCCCAAACCCCATCTCTGAGTGTATGAGTCTTAGGGAGGACATCTAGATATAAATCATCCTTGGATAGCATGAAAGCCATGTCTTTTCTGTAGGCCTAGATTTTGTTCTGTCCCTTGGCAGAAAGATGTTACCAAAATGATAGCTTTTTAAAATATCGTCTTAACATATATGATAATCAGGCTCCTGCACTGCTACAGCAATCTGTGTGATCACTTCACTCTGTCTTTCTTCCCACTATGTCCTCTACTTTGCTCCATCTTGCTGTTTGGGTAGACGTCCAAACCTGGACCCCAGACTATTAGCTATACCCTATTATTCCAGTCATTTTCCCAATCATTCAATCTTTCACCCCTTTTCTATGATACAACAAGCAACCTATTTCTGATAAAAATTTTTCCTACTCTTTAGCCTCTTGTAAATAACTACTTACCCTTTCAAATGTGACATTGTCTATGGCCCCTGCTCTGCCTTTCCTAGCAATACCTTTCAATTTTTTTCATTAAGTTTATTAGTACATTTAGGTATACAATACAGTTACATTCATCATTAGGATCTTGTACCTTTACATGATATATCTTGGTTCTTATTTTTTCCCCATATTCCTGCCCTCTCTTTAGCCTCTCCACTCTTCCCTATTTACAAAGACTTTGTTCCCACTTTTTCATTTTCTCATATTTTTTCTTTCCCTTATTTCCTTTCCTATACCCCTCCCACTTCCCCTACACTTTTAGACCTTTTTTCTATTTCACATTATCAATTATAGAGTTTGATCCTTTTTTACACTTTTAGTTTTTCACACCAGAGAAACTATTCAGTATTTACACATTTGTCCTATTTATTTCACTTAAGAGTATAGCCTCATTGTACATTCACTTAGCTATAAATGTCTCTAGTTTCGCATTCTTTATGGCTGAGTAATACTCCATTTTATTTTATTTTTTAAAATCTTTATCCAGTATCCTGTTAATGGGCAATTGGGCTGTTTCCAAGTAACAGCTATTACAAACCGTGCCACTATAAACATTGATGTACTTATATCACTGTGGTACGATTCTTTTAATTCTTTTGGAAAGATACCCAGGGATAGCTGGGTCAATAGGACTCTAATCTGAGTTATATGAAGTATCTTCATATTGATTTCCACAGTGGTTGTACCAGCCTACACTCCCATCTGCAATGAAGAAAGGTTTCTTTCTCTCTTCGACCCCACCAGAATTTGTTATTGGTTGATTTCCTGATAGCAGCTATTCTTTCTGGGGTGAGGTGGAATCTCAGCGTTGTTTTCATCTGCATCTCTCTAATATCCAGTGATGTTTGACATTTTTTATATGTTAATTTGCTGCTTTTACTTTTTTGTCTGAGGAATGTCTGTTCATTTCAGATGGCCATTTTTAATTGGGTCTTTATATTTTAAGGGTCTGATTTTTTTTTTTTTTAGTTCTTTATACATTCTAGATAGTGGACCTTTGTCTGAGGAACAGCTGGTAAAAACATTTTCCCCCATTGTAAATTGTCTCTTAGCTCTGTTGGTGATTTTTCTGGCAGGGCAAAAGTTTTTAATAAGACAATATCCTAGCTGTTGATAATTTGTGCTAGTTTCCTTGCTAATGAGGATTTGTTCATAAAGTCTTTTCCAATGCCAATGTCTCAAGATTTCTATGTAACATAGCTTCCTGCCAGTTTAGTGTTTTTGTTCTATTATTTAGATCTTTAATCCACACCAATTTTAGTTTAGTGCATGGTGAAAGATAGGGTTCTAGTTTTAATCAGTGGCAGGTTGAAAGCCAGTTTTTCAAACACCATTTATTAAAAAGGCTATCTTTCCTCCAGTGGACATCCTCCAATGAGAATGGTTGGCTCCTTTGTCAAATATGAGGTAGCTGAGTATGTCTGGAATTGTTTCTGCAGCTTCTAATCTATTCCACTGGTCCTTGAATCTGTTTCTTTGCCAGTACCATGCAGTTTTTATCACAGTAGCTTTTTAGTATAGTTTGAGGTTGGGGGTTGTGATACCCCCTGCCATGTTTCTGTTGCCTAGGATGGGTTTTGCTATTCTGGGTCTCTTCTGTTTACAAATGAATTTGTTGATTGTTTTCTCAAGTTCTGTGAAATATATTCTTGAGATTTCCATCAGATTGCACTGAATCTGTACAGCAGTTTTGGAAATATGGCCATTTTCATTATATTGGTTCTTCCTGCCCAGGAGCAAGGGATATCTTTCCATTTTCTTATATCCTCTTCTATATCTTTTTTCAGAGTGCTGTAGTTTCTAGTCTAGAGGTCTTTTGCTTCCTTTGTTAGGCTGATTCCTAGATTTTTTTGGACACTATTGTAAAAGGATTTCACTCATTCAGTGAGTTGTTTCTTCATGTACAGAAAGGCCATTGATTTATATGTGCTGACTCTGTATCCAGCTACTTGACTGAATTTGGCTATTAAGTATAAAAGACTTTTGGTGGAGTTAGTTCTTGAGGGGTTTTAGAGTATCATGTCATCTGCAAATAATGACAATTTAAATCCTTCATTTTCCTTCTTTATTCCTTTTATTTCTTTCTTTTGTCTAATTGCAGTGACTAATATTTCTAGAACATAATGAACAGGTGTAGTGATAGTGGACATCTTGTTCCCAATTTTAGTATGAAAGATTTCAGTTTTGAACATTTAATATGATGTTGACTGTTGGTTTTTCATAGATGGGTTTTATCAGGTGAAGAAAAAGACCGTTTATACCCATTTATACCAATATTCTGTAGGGATTTTTCCATGAATTCCTTGTGGATTTTGTCAAATGCTTTTTCTGCATCTATTGAGATGATCATATTTTTTGTCCTCAGTTCTGTTAATATAGTGTATTACATTTATTGATTTGTATATGTTGAACTATCCCTGTATCCCTGGAATGAATCTTACTTGGTCAGGGTATATGATCTTTTTGATGATCTTCCCCATTCTTTTTTTCAGTGTCTTATTGAGGATTTTTCCATTTATGTTCATTAGGAAGATTCGCCTATAGTTTGCTTTTTTGGTTGGGTCTTTCTCTGCTTTTGGAATCAAAGTAACACTTGCTTCCAGGAATGAATTTGGAAGTATTGCTTCACTTTCACTTCCATTGAAGAGTTTAAAGAGTAGTGGCAATAGTTCCTCTCTAAATGTCTTGTAGAATTCATTAGTGAATCCATCAGGACCTGGGCTTTTCTTTGTTGGTAAATGTGTAATTTCATTGTGAATTACACT